TAACAGAAGAAGTTTTACCAGACTAAGAATATTACTGAAAATAGATTTTATATGACTTTCGATTAAAATTAAACAAGGGTTTGTCTGATATTCTGAAAATACACAGTTGCTTCCAAATTTGGAATCATCCCATGAAGAGATCTGTGGCCTAATGATTCTCAGAACTAGACTCCAGAAGAAAATCAGAAAATGAAAGAGAGTTTCTCTTTTTCCGAACTTCCCTAGGGTTGGCGCACTAGTTAGTTGTGTGTCTGTGTTCTCAACAGCTGCAAGTGTGCTGTAATCACAATGACCCAAGAAATAAAATGCACGGAATACTCTGCTGGCTTCTCATGAATAGCAGAGCAGGCCATTTGAGAGATAAAACTTTTTTTAAGAGTTGAATAATGCTAACTTTGATGGACCACATCGATGACCAGAATTTTTTTCTTGCAAATATTCTGCCTGGAGAGAAACACTGATAGTCTAGAAAATGATGCCTATCTCTTCAATGGTAACAAATCAAAATCAAAGAGGTGCTGACATTTATCATACCAACTCTTGTGTAACAAAGCTAAATGGAGATTTAATTGTCACACAGGTAATTGGACTAGTGAAGACTGTCCAACTACTCTACCTAGGTGGTTACATTATCCAGCCTGGCCACCTTCACTGATGAAAAATGACCTAGCAAATGCCAGAATTTTGCTTTGCTTTATGGCCTTGGGGTGACCATATTTTATTTTGCACATTTTCTTACTTGTTAAAGAGACATAGTCCTGAAAATATGAATGGGTTCATATGTCAAACATTCTGCACTCTGTAGACAGTCTGAATTGATTAAAGTCTCATTCACCAGTTTTTCTAAAGTGCAATTGTCCTCAACTCAGAAAAACAGAAACAGAACCTGCTAAGATCTACAACTTCCCTCCTACTCCAGATCAAAGGAAACGCCAAGGCAAAAAATAAATAAATATTTGGAAGTAAAATTCAAGACAAGTCAAAATAAACCACAATGCGATTAATGTTCCCTAAGATTTTTTTTTCTTTCTTCAGACCTAACTGTAATCTCATGCTCAGACAAAAGCTCTAGCATGTATAAGTTAAGGATCTCTAAGGCTCAGTTAAATATGCTGAAGATACAAATGTAAAGGATGACTTCATATCTCTAAAATCTGTTCTTCCTGTTTCTGACATGACATGTTGCGCAACTCTGATTTTAAAAAAAAGTGTTTACAAAACAGAAATGCAGTTCTCCTAGTTCAAATAAGAGTCTCTGGTGAAGTAATGTGATGCGTCTATTAACCTTAGAATTTCATTAAAGGCCAAAATGAATGTAATAGCTGGAATCCAGCAGCTACCTTCTTGAAGTTCTGAATAATACATTATAATAGAAAAGGTTTACAACATGGAAAGACAACATATACATCATGAGCATTTATAACTTTGGCATCATGTAAACACTTTCCCGTGGGAAGCACAACTTGACAGGACTCCTACTTTTATAACCTGATCTGAGGGCTAAAAGCTCCCCTATAAAGATGTTGCAAACGCCCTAATGCACAGCACATTAAGTCCTAATGAAACAGCAAAGTCTGAGTTTTAAATGCAAGCCTCCATTCAGTGATGGTTTAAATATAAGCATAATAAAGCAGATTATAAAGAAAGAGGCTGTAATTACTTTTATTAAGAACTCAATCTCTTGTCCTATTATTGGTGTGCATGTAAACCTCAAAGGCTGAATACAGACAGTAAAAATTACATGAAGGGTTTACCAATCATGCCATGTCCATTATTTCTTAAAATGTAAGCCTAAAAATTGATAAAACATGCAAGAAATATGAAACATTCAGAAACTAACATTCTGGTTAGAAAAAAATCAGTTAGCTCTGGGCTAGCTACTCACTGTATCTCTTCTTGTCTTATTTGGTAAAGAAATGACATTTTCTGATTTCAGGACTGGACATACCAAATAAAGGTATAAGGGAGAAAAATCTCATAAATTCAAAAGTGTGTGAAAAGGCAGTCTTGATTTTATGATGGCTGTTTAAGGGGAACCTTCATTATCCTTTGGGGGCACAAAGGAGCCATTTCATACTATTTTACAAAATTATATTTTTGATCAGCTATGTTATAAAATGTACACTGAAGAGCGTATTTGAACAATCGGCACGTTACCTAAATTTGTTACTTCTTTAAATATATAATTATAATTTAGATATCAAATCTTCAAAGTTGTCTGAATGACTTCTTTTCCCCAATTATATATTTCATATTTGCATTCAAGTCAGTTCAAATTTTTTAAAACCATCCGTGTCAAACCAAAATATAGATCAAAGCCACAGAGTTCTTTGAGTTCTTCACTTACTTCTGGCTTCTGTTCCTTTTTTCTCGGCCTAAAATGTCATAAATCTATCATTAGCTAGCAAATGTTCTGATGGTTGAAAAAAAACACTTTAATTGAAAAAGATTAATGAATTATTCCTCTAGTCCTCCAATTAGCTTAAATTATAGACTTATATAAATAATTCCTGAAATTATTTGTCTATGATACTGATGTTTATCTTCATCTTGCTCTCAGAATACATTCAGGTCATTAAATCACCATACACATTTCTGACCAAAAATCTGCATTAAAGAACTTCAATGAGCAGCGTTTTATGTCCTACGGCTTTTAATCTCCAAACAGCTCAAGTACAAAAGAAAAACTTGTCAAATTACACATATGGGTAAAAAGGAGAATTTCAGATGTGCTTTTATTATTGATTGAGTTCATGCATATAAAGGAGCTTCTCAGTATTTATTCCTGCACAAAAACACTAATAAGTTACCTATCAATAGATATGTTTAAACATCAACGTCTGGTATATGGGCAAAGAGGTCAAAATCTGCATTTTGCCCGTAAGTGTATTTAGTGTTATCTTCAGACATGGATGTTAGCTTTTTTTTTTAGACCTGTTTCAAAATCCAATCATTTGTTTTTCCCATAGACTGTTTTTTCTCTGTGTTTCACAGTATCAGTTCCCTCTGAAAAGGAACCAATCCTAACAAGATTACCTTCTTGAGGGCCACTCGCTGCTATCTTTTGTCTTCTTTACTGTGCAGGCTGTAAGGATTTAGTAGACAGCCCAGTCTAGGATCAGCTGTTTTATTTCTAGTTCAATTAGTTCAAACTCAGATAGCTCACACATCTGTTTTATTTCTAAAATCACTGCCCAGGAAAAGTGTTCTACCCAAACATAAACTTTACTATAAATAACTAAGAATCTAACAAATAATTGTTTGGGGAAATGGAAGTGTGTTTAAAACTCTGAATTCTTCCAAACTATAGGCCTTCAGTAATCTTCCTTTTAGAGCCTTCCTGACAGCAGCAATGAGCTTTCCTCAGAAGCTGTCCTCAGAGTGAACAAACTAAAACTCCAGCCGGAAATCCAGGTATTAACATCATATTACTTGCTAATTATAAAACACTGTTTCACATACTGACATTATTCACTTCCAACCCTTTTATCTACAACGCGTATTTGCTTTCCAATCATGGTTTGACAGCCGAGTATACCTGACATAAGACAGTGAAATGATCTTTAATAAGACAGCAGTTCAAAGCATGTAGCTTTCATGCATAATAACTATGTTGGTTTAATTTGCTCCTCCACCGAAATGATTCCATTTGTGGAAATTCACAAAGTAAGACAGAATTTTGAGAGAGCTTTACCAAAAATGAAACTGGCGTTTTAAGCGTTCTTCCTATCTCCCTTAATGTGGGAAGACTGCCATTCTGACATTTAAAGAACTCAGAAATTTCTCCTCTGATTCTTCTTGCGAGTACTGCAAAACATTTTCATGACACGGTATTTCTAGGCCTTTTGCTTGCCTTTCTTCGTCAGCATTAGGTCAGTAGAAAGATCACAGCAAAAGTGCTGTGGCTTTTAAGTTAATAAAATGACTGATATTTCAAGAGATTTGGTAATGCGAGTAAGTGTGATGTGATCTCCACACTTCTCTGGTACTTCTAGTCATTCCTAGAGGAGATTAACGTTAAACTTAATGTTTAGAAATCCCCCTGACCTAAGAATATGACACAAATCTATAGATTACAATGAAAACTTTCTCAAGCTGACCCTAAGTTTCGACTATGCAAAACTTGCTAAAATTAAATGAACGCATATCTTTAGAACCAGTCCCACGTTTCCTTCTATTTCAAATACTAACCTTTTCTCATTTCACATATATTGTAAACAAAATATAGGAAAGCAGATCAAAAAGACATGCTGGTTTTAATAAAACTATAAAACTAAATCATTACTGAATGTTTCCATAAATTATTACCACTTTCCTCAAAAGCTGAAAGGAATGTTCTATGGGCCTACACCAAGGCCGTTCTGGTGTCCGTAGTATTTACAATCAGAATAACTTCTTTTTCACTAACCTAAGAGGTTATTTCCAAATCTTCATTTCTACTTATTTCGCTTTTTCATTAACATATCTCTATAATGGTCATATTATTTCCAAAGTGTCGCTGGTAGTTATTTTGTTTTCTCAAGAGACTATCTCTGTAACCATCAGTAGGACTCATCAAGCTCACTATAAAATCAAATCCTAATCCAACAGACCAGAAAGATCTTCATAAGAGGAAAAATTAGAGCTGAAGCCTTTTAATCTGAAACTAGAACAAGGAATAAATTATTATCATGCACAACCATAAAGATTTGTGCCATGTTTGGAAGACTGAAAATATCCAGTCACCATGAAACATGTCCAGAAATATGAAGCTTAACCAGTGAGAGAAAAAGACTCTTCCCAACCTAGTCGAAATTCTGGGACTTTTCCCTACAGCAAGGGGCTGGAGAAAAAAGGCCTTTCTGGATGGGTGGTGACGGGGTGAATCCAGCTCTTTAGCTGTGTCTACAAAGCTACCCACCTGGTCCGGGGACCCTGCTTTTAGCGTGTATGTGAAACCTCACACTTTGCAATGTATCATTTTTTTCCTGTACAAAGAGACCACAATATAAAGCACAAACCTGTACATCATAGGTCCCATTTAGTAAAACGGGCCTGGAAGAATTGATGTCCTGCAGCACACCAGAAAGCACAGAACGGTTGACCTTCTGGAAGTCTTTGGAATGGCTGAACTGCACCATGTTATGAAGGGCCAGGATTTTGCTGTCCAGCTCAGCATCCTGCCTGGTGCGGTTATGCAGTCCTAAGTGATACTTTCGGAAGTGCTTAATCAGATCTGTGGGGTCGTTGCCATAGTAACCGTACCCGCAGATATTGCATTTAAAGTCCTGAAGCTCCGGAGACAGAGGTGCCGGGTCTGGGTTGTCGTTCACCACTGAGTCCGTTTTGGATTTATTCAGTCTCACACCCCCATCTGAAGGCACTTGTGGGTTTTTGGAGGCCACTGAAACTGGGCTTAACCCTTGGCGATTGGCTTGACCACTCTGCGCTTGCCCTGTTTCCTCCGTAGCCTTTGGCGACATCTTCTGATCGTCCTTTGTCTCCGATGAGTCCCCTGGAGGGGCGCAGGCTGTATCTTGAGGACCATCTGCCTCTGCTCTCTGAGGAGACTTTAAGGGTTCACAGATGCCCCCCGCAGCTGGAGATGAGAAAGCCAACATATTTCTGTCGGTCACCTCATCATGCGCAAAAGATGGAAGGTTCCCTCCCTTGCTGGGGCTCTCATAATTGAAGCCAGCCTTCTCACCCAGGGCTGAGCTTTTGGCGTCCTTCTTGCTGCTAGAAGGCGGATCTTGGACATGCAAGCTATGCTCCTCCTTGTTATTTAGCTCTGCAGCATCACTCTGATCAGTATTTTCTGACATCTGATCTGCAGAAAATTCTTTGCTCTTTCCAGATACCTTGCTTTCTGTACCTATCGGCTCCAGGGTCTGGCCCTCGCCTTCACTAGCAACGTTTCTCAGAGGGGGGTTCTTTTTCCGGACCATATCTGTGAAAATACACGGAAAAGGCAGATGCAGGGTTATTTGAAAGTCACAGACACGTAATCAAATCTAGAACACTTTCCTTATTCTGTAATAAATACGAAGGTGTATAATAAAATACTTCCTCTAGGAGACATGTCAGTCTTACAAAGAGCAAGAAATTAAAGCTAAAGCAAACAATTTACATATGGAATTATTTTTGTCACAGACTGTCTCATCTATTATTTAAAAAGATTTATGAATATTAAATGACTCAGTATTTTTACTGCCTCTGCCATTACTATTAGTCTTCCTTGCCAATTAAATATTTGCCCAATTTCTTTGTTTAGCTATAATGCACAGTGCACACACACACACACACACACACATTTATACATGTTATAGACGACATATTTTATGTGTGCATGTTGTAAAATATATATACATGTTTTGGTCGGCAGGATACATATATGTTTATTTATATGATAAATACATGTATATATGAACATCATCAATTATAGTTTAATATTGATACATTGTGCAATCAGGCTATAAATACTCTCTCAACCAAAATGCTCTCCTAGGCTTGAGGACAGAGACAGCCCATGTGACGAACAGAGTGAAAAGAGCCCTATTATGAATTCCAGGAAATGGCAGGTAATGAAAGCTTCATCTCTGCACTGCCCACCAATTTCTTTGACACCTGGAGAGCTTTCCTGAAAATGAGGAGGTCCTGGTGTGCACGGACATGATGGTCAGGTTTCAACAGGATCGTCTCTGGTGTGATGAGGAAGCAAGCAAGGCTCAGGAGATTCTACACAAGGCCTGCGGCCAACAATACCAGGTCTTTGGACGATGAGCTCACACTCAACCCTAGAACACCGTCACGTAGCAGCTGAAAATGACACAGACTCAGCAATGTCCTATGGTTTTTCTTCCTGTGGCAGCTCAACTGTGTCTTTCTGGATAGTGACATCATCAACAAAGCTCAAACTCAGAATGCTGTGAACAAATTCCTCCACAGGAATCTAACGAATCGGAACTCTAAGCACACAGACAAGTAAGAAATGCTGTGAGCCCTATCAATAGAAAAATGCACCGATAAAAGTCAATCCAGGATGGGGCTCCTTGGACTGTGTTTTGTAAGGGCTCAGCAGGAAAACTGTTAAATGCTGTGTTGTCATCACCCCAAACATCTGGAAAATTCTGTCTCTAGTGAAACAAGACTTCTTTAGTCAAAGACTGTTGGGAAGACCAATTTAGTAGAGTTTGTTACACCATGATTATCCAAAATGTGCTGGGAAAAAACAAATTAATGACATGGTATTAGTCATTTTTGTCTGGAATTTTTCACAAGTGCTAAGGAACCAGACTGGTCTGGGGAAGATGGGTGGGCCTGTACTTCTGAAAAGCTGGTCAAGAAAAAAATTTTTATAGTATGAGTCTCCGAACAAAGATAATGCAGTAGTTGTATAAGGAATTGTTTACAAGGTAAAAATTCACCTTAGTGAATAATGTGGACAATAGCACACCTGTTTAAAAGGCTCACTGCTCCTCTTCTATACCAATAACGTCATTCATCAAAGAGCCACCGCATCTCCCTCTCGGAATAGTAAAACATTCCAAGAGGAAAGACTGAGCCTTCACGGGACAGTGATGGTTCTGAAGCAGTGGCACCCTGCCTGGCTTCCTGGGGCAGGGGCCGCGTGTTCCTCCTGGTGCCACCCCTCAGGGACTAAAATTGACAAACCTAGGGAATCTTGGCCCCAAAAGAAGCACTGGTTGATGGTATTTTTGAAATGCTTGCATTTTAATGTCTTATGTGTTGATGGCAATGGTTAAGATCTCTATTCTGTCCAAAGTGACCAGGGTACCTCATGAAGGAAGAACACAGGGACAACTGCAAGCAATTCACTGTGGCTAACAAAGGGAAAAGTAAAGAGAAAAATACAGAGAAAATGTAAGAAATGAATTATGATTCCAACTGCAGTTTAAGCACACATGCTTACAGTCTCATCTACTCCAGGGGCTGAAGGAGAGGGAAGTGAGCCTCCTCGGAGTTTGAGAACAATCTGAGCAACAAGGTGCGATCCCCCCCAAAAACGAATGTGTTAGTGTGTGTGTGTGTGTGTGTGTGTGTGTTTACACAGGCGTTTAACTTGGCCAACATAAAGGAGTATTCTAGACCACTGAGTACCAGGCATTCCTACCTAGGCAAATGCAATGACCTGGTATGAACCTCTTGACTTTCTCCCCAGAACTCCACGATTATTGCTTCTACTACACATATTACACTATAAAGCTTCTTTTGACAAATACTGCATACTTATCTTTTGCCTTTCAGCATTTTTCAATAACATGACTAAACTATGACTCACCTAAAATAAGTAAATGAGGTTACACAAAAATCAAAATCCCATATGAAAATCAGAATGTCTGAAGAAATGATAATTCATTAATGTTATCCTTCCACTGAAATGAAGGGAAAATGGTTTACGCCCATATATTAATGTCAAGGTGGTAGAGAACATGACAATAATTTTAATATCAAAAGAACTAAGTTACTTTAAAAATGAATAGTTCTAAATCCATTAAAATTGGAAAGATTATTTTTCAGGACAAAGAAAATTTATAGATCTTACTGACTTATCATTATCATGAAGAGAGGTACTTGGTGAAAGTTTCAAAACTATTCAACCAACGTGTTTAGTGCCTCAGAGGGAAAACAGAATTTAATTAAGCTATCATCTTTCCAAATTTCAGTTCCTTCTTGCACCCAAGAACAGAACTTGAGAATGTATATGACTCACTGGTTCCTTATGCTGAAGAGAGCCCTTAATAATATACATTGCAAAGAAGGTTTAACTGCTAAAACTTCAAAGAAGTATCAGAAAGGTCACCTGGGTTTTATTTTGTATTGTGGGGTAGGGGCATGTTCCTTTTAGTTACTGTTTTTTAAAAATGTGGCTAATTTAGTTGGCTATACTTTGAAGTAGTTATAGGGAAAATAGTTCTGACTGAAATCATATCATCATAATTTTTCAGAGTGACATATTATGTAAATATAGGCACATTCGCAATACTTCTAAGTGAAAGAAACTCCCCTAGCAAGTCATAAGTTAGATACCGTAAGACTAGAGCCACCCTCCAGTTATTATCTGAAAGACAAATAACAGATTGCAGGATGTTTTACTGTGTGCCAAGAACTTTTCCAGTTAACATTTTCACTTGAAAAAATAGATCACATACTTGTAAAATCATACCCAGCATTGACTTCATAAGGCATGTGGCTTTAGAGGGCTTTCTACAATTATTAATTCTATTAGTCAACTAGCAGGAAGCTAATGCAACTGTCTGAGAAGATGCTGGGAGGACACAGAAGCCATTTTGAGAGCTGGTCTGTACATCTGCAAAACAAAGCAAAAAAAAAAAAAAGAATATTTCCTTCCCAAATGATGTAAACGTACTTTAATGTACTGCACCTAAAATACATCAATACAGCAGCACCATGAGCTGCAGGGAAAACATCTGATAAAAGCAGGAGCAGACCTTGAGCAGGCTCCTCTCCTCCCTTGGATTTTAATAAAGCAGCAGAGGGAGGAAGATGATAAAAAGATCACAGGACATGAAATCAGTTTCACAACAGCCTGTGATGCTGGTGAAATTATTTGACCGCAAAACCCCCTCAACCCTAATGACTATGATACTTACCTACCCTAAGGTTGGGGGGATAGGAAACATCAGCAATGGCTTCTTAGGGAAAATTTTAAAGTCGTTAAAATACACAACCACAAGAGTGAACCTCGGTCATCAGCTTTGGCAATCGTATTTCAAACACTATCGTGCTGCTCTGTAGCAGTGAATCCGCCTCACACAAACTACAAAAATCAAAGCCGAAGATGGCAGTTAAAGAAGCTCCACTATAAACAGCCACCAGAGACAGTGAAGCTGAGAGCAAACTGGACAGAGGAACTGGAAAACTGCAAGGCTCAAAAGTGCTCTTTTGGGCCAGGGGGCGGAGCTCAGCGTTGCTGGGCCTGCCTGGCAAATGCAAGGTCCTGAGTTTGACTCCCGGGACCGAAAAAAAAAAAAAAGTGTTCATTTAAGTCCTCTATCTAAATGTGAGATTTAAAACAAAACCTGACCCTGGGTAATAGTGAGCACTGTTTAAACTGACCTCATCCTCCACTTACATGAACACGTGAATGCTACTTAGACTTGTGACTGCCAAGATAGGTAAACAGGTTAGAAGGTGTTCAGCTTCTTCTAAATGTTGTATTATGTTTTCAATCCTGAGATATAAGACATTCCATCTGCAAAAATCATAAACATCTACTCTTGACTAACTGTATTTCTTTCTAAATTAAAACAAATCTAAAAGCTTCGTATTCTTAAAAAGTGTTTACTATTACTTTTTTGAAAAGCAATAGAAGGTTGCATGTCTCTTATGTACTACTTACATTTAAGCAGTGAAAATAATAATCAGCATTAGATCTTAAAATATAATCCTGATAACTACTTGGTCTCACTGATTAAAATGCTTCAATACATAAGAAAACAACTTTCTGTAAAAGACGGAATTATGTTCTCAGAGTGATACCTTCACAGCCAAAGGAATCTGAGTTTTCTATTAAACCTGAATACTGTGAATTAACCCACTAATGATTTAGTTATATTTCATATATCTATAGCACATTAAATATATATGAAAACCTAAATAAACATGTATACTTATATAAACATATATTTAAATACACATATGCATGTATATGAATATACGCACACATTTATGAAATACGCTCCCTCCAAATAAACTTATAACAAATAATTGAATAAACTGTTCAACTAAAGAAATCAATTATCATGAAAATTTTCAAGGAAACTGACATCACACATCCATCCAAGGCAGACAGCAGAACTGTTTATTTCTATTAGGTGATAAATGGTAAGATAGGATGATAAAAGGTAAGATACGGAAATTATAGGTGTTCTGTATAGAATCTATATTTTCCTTCAAGTAAAGAACAAAAACCTAAGGAGGAACAAAGGTCTGTGGAAACCACAGATTCAGATCACTTGCTTGTGTGACCAAAGACGGGTCCCCCAACCCTCCGAGTCTCTGGTTCTATCTGCATAGTGAGGGGATGAATTATTTCTAAACTTCTCCTTGACTCTGTGACTCCGCAATCATTCTGGTTACTAACGCTTTAGTTTTACCTTTGAAAACCTTTGTCCAATTGTGCTGAAAGACTATAAAATATTAAACCGCCAGCCTCTCGGGGTGGCCTAAATACTACTAATGCCTACCATTCTCTCAGTTATCCATTCGCCCAACACACAAGTGCTCAAAACCATATATTCAACATCAGCAACATCAAGAAGAATCCTTTTAATCATACTTTGTCGTCAGTTTGTGAGAGAAAAGGTATTGCTGAAGATCAGAGAAAACAATCATAAGGACTCCTGTTCTTATGACTCCTGTTCTTAAAAAAAAAAAAAAAAAAAACCCTGAGCATCTTCCCAAATGTCATTGTGTGTGTGTGTGTGTGTGTGTACACACATGTATATTCTGAACAAGACTGCAAAAAATTAGGGGGACAAAGATGGTGTAATTTGACCTCGGTCTCAAATCCTGCTGCACATGATTTTTATTATAAGTAGCAGCTCCTATTTTCATAATGTATAATACCAGATGACACGTTCTTTTTGTTTTTCTAGATAATAAAACTTTCAAGTGCTTGAAATCAAAGAGCAGCCCAAAAAGGGAAAGTCCTGATGCTCTTCTCCTTTGTGAATGTATGTTTTCTTCTCCGTTGGCTTGTATCATCTGCCTAGAAGTACTGAGATTAATTACACATTTCATGTAGCTTTTATTTTTAAGAAATTAAAAAAGAAAGTAAAAGAAGACCAAAATGTTTCTTTTGATCAAAAGTCCCACATAAAGAATTTAAAGAATTAAGCAAGTGATAGCTAAATAAAAGGAAGGTCAAGTCTTGGGCCTACACCAAACTAGATAGCTTCCATCTGAACAACGTACAAAGTTCAGTTTTTAAAGAACATATGTGTCTTCTCGTTGGTTTGGGGGAAAAACACTTGAATCCTGTCTCTGCTGTATATACAGATCAAAATCAGATTGCCTAAGTGAACTATAAAATGCAAGAGACATTGTTTACCCAATTCACAAATCCAAGAATTACCAAAGGAGTTTGAGTGTTTTCTATTCGTTCAGATTTCAGGGCAGTACTTGAATGGTCGGTCGCCTTTTTTGTAAACTGTTTCAAACTTCATAAGCCCAGTGCCCGATCCTGTTCTTTGCTATTCATTTCTATTCAATTTGTTCTCTCCGAATATGCTGTTCCCGAATCTTTAGAGTATTTCTGGACATTTTAAATCCCGTTGAGATCTAAGTGTCATCACCTTCAAACAATTCCCATCAAATAAATCTCTGATTAATGACATCAAGTTAATCCAAAGTGATCAGTTCTATTAACACACGTTTCAGAGCACAAACAGACAGTTAACAATCATCTGGACCCTAGAAGTAGCCTAAACTTTGCTCGCTCTCTCTCCATTCCACCGGCGAGAAAACGAAGATATTTTGCTGTGACATAAGCCGTATCAAAGCCCTGGTTTTCAGTTTTAGGGCCTTCGCAGCATAGTCATCAACTTTACAAGAAGATCGCGATGTATTATCGTGAAAGACTTAGAATCAGCCTTTGAAAAGAATGCATTATGGCAAAGGAGTAGAGATTGAACACGCAGTTTTAAAAAGTGGGAGATAAACTATTCATGTGCAATGAGATCCCAGATGTCTGAATAATGCATTCAGAAACAGGTAAGGTGATAAAGCCAATGTCAGCTTTGAGCCAAAGAGTTTATATAGATATCAGTGCATAAAGAAGCCCTTTTAGTGAGAGGGAGGTGGCTGAGACAGGGTCTCGTTTTGTAGTTCAGGGTGGCCTTGAACTCACTATGTACTCCAGGTTGGCCTCAAACTCACAGAGATCCTCCTGCCTCAGCCACTTAGGCACTGGCATATCAGGCCTGTAACACCATAGGAAATCTTTTTTGAAAGTTATAGTTTCTGGGCCAGGGATTTAGCTCAGTGACACCCCACCTGCTTCACAAGAGTAAGATCCTGAGTTCAATCCCAGTGTCAGAAAAAAAATCAATAATAATAATAATAATAATTATTATTATTATTATTATAATAAAAATGCTACAGTTTCTGATGCTGTCCCACTAAGCGGTTAATTTAAAAGTTTTTACACTAAATGCACCTCATTATTTGACAGTAATTAAAATGTTACTTGATTAAAATTAAATCAGAAACTAAAACATGGTCAGGAGTTTATTGAAATAAGGAACATGGAAAGCCACTGGAGAAAGACCCAGGATTGCTTTAAGGCATCTTCGGTTCCTATGGTTACAACTGGTAGTGCTCAGATGTCCCAGATGCCTACAAGAATAAATCTCCTCCGCACCATCCTCCCCGATTGTTAGTATGCCCTGATCCTCCCAACCACACTCAGTCTCTGTTCCCAGGCGAACTGCAGGGATAATAAAGAATGGAACACCAATACCCAAGTCCCCAGTCAGAAACATGGGCCAAGCATGGACCCAGCAGCACAGCATCTCTCAGCCTGGCTCAGGTCTCCAGGAGAGTCAGAGAAGCAGACACTGCGGGTCCACAGAGCGGGTTCCCTGTCCGATCCTTGTAGATTCCCAACAGGACCCCAGTGACCTACCGGTTTGGGAATTGTGTTCTCTTCGTACATCTCGCAAAGATTAAAACTGGGGGTGGGGTGGGGATACTCTAGGTCCATGCTGAAGTAAATCTCGAACAGAGAATGAATTTTAAATCAATTTCAAACATGAAGCCAGACACAGGAGTAAAGTCACAGTAAAAAACAAAATGTGAAGGGATGACCACACATCTAGGTTTCAGCTGGGCTCGAGAGTCCCTACTTTACACAAGAACAGTGACTTGATACACACGTGCAAGGTTGCTGGATCTGGATAGAAATTAGCTCATTCATTAAGTATTTTTATGGGTAATCTAATCAACCTTCACTTTCAAGTTCAATATAAATTTAAGAATCTATCTAAACACACAGACGTAAACACACACATACACACACACACACACACACACACACACCCCTTTAGAAAAGATTTCCACTACCTGCAGCCCTATTGGTAATTATTTTTCACCATCAGTCTTCCTGAGGACACCTGTTATAATAGACCAAGGAAATTATATATGATTCTAGATTCAGGTGTTTTACAAATAGTTCTTTCAAAATCTAACTGAATGCTGAAAGATCCCAAAAGTCAGAACTAAACTCTTTTTAGGACCATGACCTTGAAGTGTGGATAAAGATTTGAGTGGGTGGGTGGATGGGTA